ATTCCCAACGTGGCTGAAGTGACTGGATCTGAGAAGTCTCCACCAGGGGGCGACACACTAACAGGAACCACCAAATTAAAACAAGAGTCAGCCTGATGACTGATGCAATGCAGATCAGGACTTTATATCAGCTCAATGAAAACTAGAGGTAAAGATGATCATTATAAACATGATGTCAAACGCTCCTTTTAACAAAATTTCTGATAAAAAAAATTAGTTTCTAGCAATCTAACATAACAACAGAAACATGGACTGACGCTCCAACGATGCTGACGCTGCCTTCTCGCTCTGGGTTTCCCAGGCACTTCACACGTCCAGCGCGCTCGTAGAAGGAAGCCAGCCTGGCGCCCAGATAGGCAGGATAGCCGCTGTCTGCAAGCAGGAGCGTTCACATCGTCAGCGTTTTTAACAGTTCACTAAAGATAGAGGCAATGCTAGATTTTTCCTGGTCTTGGTTATCTATGTCGGACAGAGAGTCTCTGCACATGCAAATTAATAAATACCATATGACCAGTGAACTCACCTGCAGGCATTTCAGCCAGTCTTCCAGAAATTTCTCTCAGCGCCTCGGCCCATCGGGACGTTGAGTCAGCCATCATGCTCACATTGTAGCCCATATCTCTGAAGTACTCAGACAGCGTGATCCCTGCAGAGACGTGAACAATATTATTAAATCTAATGGGTGTTTGGTCTGCTAACCGTGAGCCACAATACACTTTTTAGACAATATCTGTATATTTAAATTATAAAAAAGAAACACACTTACAAGATATCACTATCTGACTTTAAATATTACATTATCCAAAACTGTGCAACTTGGGTCAAGGGTTTCACGTATTTTTCCACAAGCAAAACTTTCTCCTACCGTTCTCCAGACGTAACAATGATCATAACGGTCAAACTCTTCAGTTGATAAGAACATGAGATATGTGTCCAAAAAGTGAAGTCCTTGTCTGTGAGCGCATTTGCAAACTGTGATCTTGCTTGTGAAGTGGTGGCTTCTACCTTCCTGCATGGCCTTTTAGCTCAAGTCGTTAAAGACTTATTTTATTAACGATGAAACTCTCGTACCAGCTTCAAACAAACACTACCTGCACAGGCACTTGTTTTGGAGGCGACATGCACACACCTGTATAGATGGAAGCCTCTCGAGCGGCCACAGGCATGTTGGACGTGTTCGCAACCAGCGCTGTTCTCTTCATGATGCTCTCAACTTTGCCGTCAACTTCCATTGTAAGCTGTTGAGCAAAGGAAACAGTTATGTCGTCTTAACATGACTTAAGTGAGGACATTTCTGATCCACAGCCATCTAAAGGAAACCCAACACGTGTTCTATCATATTTAGTTCCCATTTGCTTTTGGTGATCCAGAGTGTTACTTCATATATCTTGCAGTATTGTGGCCACACAAAAAAAATTAAAAATTAAAAATGTAGATGCTTTTTTCATATTCAACCAAGTGACAGTTTGCTTTTTATTCTTTGTCTGCAGAATCTCAAATTTAAGGCTCAAAAGATAAAAACAATGAAGCAAACAAAAGAAATGCCATAAATGTAGCTACTGAAAACTGAAAGTGGCACATTTTTCTGAGTTTAAGAAGTCTAAAAAGTGTTCCAGTCACATAAATTACACATTAAAATGTAAAAGTTGCTCCACCAACCTCTGGGAAATCCCGCAGCACTTCAGACATTTCATTGCCACGTTCCCCACAGCCCACATAGATGATGACGTCACTGTTGGAGTACTTTGACAGCGACTGCGAGATCACGGTCTTTCCGCACCCGAAGGCTCCAGGGATAGCAGTGGTGCCACCTTGTACACATCTATGAAAAGTAAGAATCATGCAGGTGTAAACAGTTGACAAATAAATATTTATATAACTAATTAATGTGATTAATTGTGACATAAATCAATATCCAAAGAAGCTCTCACGGGAAAAGGGCATCAAGAACTCTCTGTCCAGTCAGCAGTGGATGATTGGCAGGTAGTTTCTCTGTTACCGGCCGAATTTGTCGTACTGGCCACACCTGGACCATAGTAAACTTCTCCTTTACTCCTTCGAATTCAAGCTCCAAAACAACATCCTACATGCATAAAAAGAAGATCAAATTGAAACAAATACATCATTTATTTCAAAAGCTCTGAAGCGCATTCAGCTTTATGAGCAGCACTCACAGAAAGGTCGTAGTTCCCAGGTGGAGCCAGGTAGGTGACAGTGCCTCTGTTTCGAGGTGGAAGCAGGAGTTTGTGCTTAATTAAGGAGTTTTCAAACACAGTCCCGTAAATATCTCCGCCTGTGATGTGACTGCCAACCTATAGCCAGGAAAAATTTTTTTAAAAATGAGTCAGACTAGTTGAGAAATAGTCATTAAATCCAAAGTAGTACTGGGAAGATTTCCCACCCGAAGGCTCTGGCCGGGAGAAAACTCCCATTTGATGTCTCTGTTAAGAGCGCCGATATTTACTCCTCGCGGGATGTAGATACTTTGGGTCAGATCATTAATGTCTTTTAGAGGACGTTGGATACCGTCAAAGATGGAGCCCATGATTCCCGGCCCCAGCTCTACGGAAAGGGGTTTCCCCGTTCGGAGGACGGGGTCACCGACGGACACACCAGCTGGAGCATGGAGTTAAAGAAAAAACAAAACAAAAACACACCCACAAAGCCAAGGTGATCACAAAAGCTGTAAACAGACCAGTGAAATTTAATATAATAAGAGGTTTTGTGGCAGTAGAAAGGATACAGGTCTCTTCATACACCTGGATGGTCGCCATGTCACCCTCTAAACGGATGATTTCTCCAACCAGCTCGCTGTGGCCGACACGAACCAGCTCATACATGGCAGCTCCAGCCATGGCAGTGGCCGTCACCACTGTCAGTTGCAGAAGCAGGAATGAAAAATCAAAAAATATTCACAAAAGAACAAAAAATAATAAAAAATAAAAAAAATTCTATTTCTACGTCTACCAGGATTCCCGCTTAAGTTTTTATATTTAAACTTAAACACAAAAACTTAAACTAATCCAACTGATCACTGGATTAAAATCCAACAGTTTTATGGTCATATTAAAAGGGATTATTTAAGCCTGGTTATTATATTTGCTTTTGATAAATAACTTGTAGCAGAATTATTAGACAAAACACAGCTACTCTTTATGACACCATTGTAATCGTGTTTGGAAAACTGGGCAGACCTGGTCCTGAAACTCCATGAACATAGCCGAACTGGCTTTCTCTCTCCTCATCCTGGATCTTAGGAAGCTTTGACGTGTCCATGGTTTAATTTACGTCCTGCAAAGAAACCCGGGGAGGTCAAGAGATGACAAAGTTTATTTAATATGACACACTCAGACAGACAACACCTTTACATCATTTAAAAGATGGTAAAGAAAGTCATGCTAAGTACGGGGAGGCTGAAGTCACACAGTATCTGATCACTTGTTTCATTTTTTTTTTTTTTTGACTCATAGTACAGAATAGCAGAAGGATTGAACAGCTAAACTTCTGGAGTGTCTGAAAAATGAATAAACAAGTTAAGCAGATCACAAACTAGCCTTAAAGGACAGATGGCTGTCTCATGTTTTGACTTGAAAGCTGATTTGTGCGTGAACGAGTCAGGTGACAAGCTAGCAGAGTCCCGAGACTCATCACAGTCACAGATACTCAGATAAAACTAATTTAAACAGCGCTGGGGTACCACATCACACAACGCTTGACGAAAGACAAACATATCTGTGAAACTCTCACCAAATAACGTCAACATGAGAATGTTACCTTAAACTGATATGAAGTTGTGCCCAGGTTTGTCTCTGCTGTCGCAAGATAAGGAGGAGCTTCCCTGTGCTAATCACCTGCAAAGCACCGGGCTGTCACGGGAAGAAAACGTCTCCATTTTGGCTCAAGCAGCTTCGTATTTCCTCCAATAGTGCTGGCTGCGTCTTGAGCCAATATGGCGTCTGAAGATAAACAGTTTCCCACCCTGTGCAGTTCCGTCTGTCCACTCACGTTTCACAGACGCATTACTGACCTCTGCTGGACAGAAGTGAAAACGCACATAACTTACAGTGCCTGTAAATGATATTCAATAAAAATAAAAAATAAAAAGTAATGAGCTGAAGAACAGAATTAAAAAACAACAACAAAAAATCAAGAAAGATGTGCATTTAAAAGATGTAATATTAATTTAAGGACGTGGTGAAAAGGTTTTGGATTGATGATGAGAAGGTGACATACAAATAGCATAAAACATAAAAAAAAAGATTTAAAAATCCTGTTAAGTGTTAAAACTACATAGAAAGAGAAACAAAATAAAATTTACATTCATTAAAAATGGCTAGTGTAAAAATGAACCATTATCTGAGTGAGATACATAATAATAATAATAATAATAATAATAATAATAATAATAATAATAATAATAATCAATATAAAGCTGCTTAACTGTTGGGAGGGCCAAAAAAGAGAGAAAAGGGTAGAGAAAGATGAAGTGAAGGACAAGAAATTCTCATAAACACGTTTATAAAATATTTATTGGTATTTAATAATTTTTCCAAAACACTTCAGAACAAACATGCACAGAAACATTTAATGGAGCGTTATATTTTATACATACAATAATGAACATATAAACACCTATTTCTGTAAAATTTAGATGGATTTGATCACACACACACTTAAACTTGTAACATCGACAGCGCCTCTAGTCTGTACAAGTGTTCAGTTTCCTGTTACCAAGGCTGCGGCACAGAAAGAGACCATGACACCTTAGAATGGACATAGATGACAGCCAGCCATGGCATGTATTATTTATATTGGTGTTTACTTTCCTGTTGAGGATTTTCAGGATTTATTTAGTTAAAAAAATGGGTCTGATGATTATAAACTTATAATTCTCATTGATAAGATAAGCTTTTCCTTTTTTTCGGTTTTGATTTAGAAGACATTGGAATAAAAGACAAACATAAAATTTTTTTTAGCTATAAATCACACATAATTTTGTCTTTTACATGCAGAAGACGTAAATATTCATCTAATTCATGCATTTTGCTAGAGGTGCAAAATAAGCACGTGAGATAAATGGCTCTGTCTACACACTAGATGGAGCCAAACAAGTTCAAGCACAATTCAGTTTCCTTTTTTAGAGGCTTCCCAAAAAGTACATATAAATCACATGCTTCAGCTTATGCAAGGTCAGTCTGACCAGTCATTTTCTTCAAACTCAGAATCATCCTCGGAGTCACTGTATTCAACTGCAATGCGTCGGGACAGGATGGTGGCCACATCGTTCCCCACGGGCTCCCTCTTGTTCTGCTGCTCTTGCTGCTCTTGAACTTTCTTCAGCTGGATGCCTAACAATAGAAGAAAACATTAGCACACCTTAAATCAGCAAACCTCTTTCACAAAATGACATCAGAGAAGCCATGCTCACCCATCCGAATGGCTGACAGCAGATCACTTCTGGCATCTTTAACCGGTTTGGTTTCATTGCGTCTTGGTGGGTGTGAGGGCGCGGCTGGGGGAGGCAGAGGTGGAGGAGGGGGACCCGGAGGTGGAGGCGCCATATGTGGCCCCGGAGGAGGCACCGGCGGCAGTGGGTAACCTGGTCCGATGTGCACAGCTCCACTATTCAGGGGTGGTGGTGGAAAGCCAAATGCAGTCTGGGAGGATGGGATGGGTGGTGGGCCTTGGGGGGGAGGAGGAGGAGGAATGGAGCTGTTCAAAGGTAAGAAGATTAAGATTAGAGCCACAAACCTCAGCAATATGAAGTTACATTTTGAAACTAGCTTATTTTGGGGGCAAAGAGTACAATCACATACACTCTTTGCGGGCATGAACGTCATATTAATTTGGGGCTTTAAACTAGTTTATTTAAATAATTTTTTCAGAGTTGTATGATAATTCAAAATACAACGTGGGTGATTTTTATAACTAAATTGGGCAGACATGTATTAATTTATTGTGGAACATTTCTTAAACCCACCAACAAGATATAATTAGATTAGATTTTTTTAACCATTTCTGAGTAAGTTTATTTAATCTGGTTTATTTCCACTCCTTTCATTTTCAAGCTATTCCAGAAGCTTGTTGTTAAGCTAATTTATTTTTATGTGCACTGTGTCTAGATTTTAATTATCCAGCCACTCATCTGAGCTGCTCTTTGCAGGATCCCCAACTTGTCACCCTTAGATGAAAAGGAATTGGTTCAGTTGTTTAAAAACAACCCAGGTAATGATAACTCAAGCCTATCATTACCTGAACACAAGAGTCACTATTGAAACGTTTGAAACTTTTGGTCAACATAGATTTAGACGTTATTGGTGAAAAAAAAAAAGCTCCCACTCGAAAATCTACACTTTGAAAGTTAGCTGGCATTTGCACCTGCCCACATGAATAAGTTAAATATTTGCTCAAAAACAGTTTCTTTGTCAAAAGCGTTGAAGACTGAGCCGACTGACCACAATGACAAAAAGGAATCAAGTGAAGCATTAAAATGTAAAATGCTTCACCAGCAGTAAAGCAAGGAGTTGGCAGTAACATGCTGAGGGTCTGTTACATTTCCAGTTGTAGTGGTGCATTGCAAGAATATTGAAGGAGAAGAATGACATGTGGTGAGTTAACCTCAACTCAACAGCTAAACTGAGAAATCTGCACCCAAATCGATGTTTTATAAAATATCAAACACACATCCAAACAAATTTAAGAATGGACATGGCATGCAAACATTAAACTTTTGCATCGGCCCTGATTTCAACTTGACATGTTTGTAGTAGTTTTGCACACTACCACAAAACTCTGTAGGATGAATTCATCCACCACAAAAACCTGCCAGGACACGACAGAACAACGTGAAAATATGAGCTGGAAATAATGTGTTTTCACTTTCACCTACTCCTTTCCAAACATTTTGTTTTGCATGTCTGATCAATTTTGTTAATCTGACATCCAACAAATTAATCTGACATTCCTGCTGATGATGCGTCTAGCTCCTGAACAGCACAACACGTACGTGCAGTCTGCAGCCAGACATGCAGAACCGTTTAATCTGTCTGCAATGCGGGGCTCTGCTGCAGCATAAGTTGCTCTCTTGTAGTTGACATCGATGCTGTGGTATTCGTGCTCCACAGGTGGTGAGGGATGTGCGTTTCCTGGGATGTAATCATGGGACCTGGCATAGTTGCAAACAGCGTGAGCAGGTACTGGAGGGATTGGGTAGTCCAGAAGGTCAGGCCTGGATAAACAATGACAGTGAGGGAGATTAAGATGCAGATGCCTTTGCATATCCAGATGGTCCCTCTTTTTTTCCCAAAAAAATGCCATATCACAAGTACAAAACAGAAGGGATGAAAAAAGCAAACATGCTGTGTAGAGGATGTTTGTTGAAAAGTATCCAGTTTCACTCTGCATTTCTGGAATTTTTCACTCATAAATTAAGTGAAAATTTATTTTAAATCCTACAACGTAAACATGAATGGGTTTTTTTTTTGGAATGGATTTAAGTGATAATGAACATTTAGAATAGTTAAAACTAAGCCTGTCACATAAAAGCAATAAATTATCATGATAAATTGAATACTGCTCAATAATTTTCCATTTGCATGACTGTTAGTCTCATTTCTGTCAATCTTTCTATCAAAGACTGGACGACAAAAGGTTTCAGTCTGGTGCGTTCCCTTTTTTTGAACATCAATTTGGTTTACAGAGTCTTTAGTATCCACTTCATTTGTTGCTTCAAGTGTTTTATTTATTCTGGATATTTAAAATGTGACAATGGTGTAATAGTTTCCAGCTATTTTTTTTTCAAGGTGATATTTTATAGAATATATATGTATACATATTATCTCCTTTGAAGGATATAATCCCAAAAAAAATCACTGAATAAATCTGGTGAAATCCCTACACAAAAGAAACAAGATTGAAAACCCATCCTACATGAGGTGCTGTATTAAATACAGATCTGATTATGATGAGGGATTTATTGCATGGGTTCAGAAGCCTTTCGAAAACATTTAATTTGTGCAAATACAAAATAAAGGAAAGGATTGACTGAAAGAAATCAAAACTGGTTTTCATGCGTGTATTTAAGGTAACAGTGCATAAATGTTTATATCACCAGATATAATAAAAAAACCTCTTTTTTTTCAGGATGAAAAACATCGTTTGTCATTTATAAAAAGCCTCTGCAACAAGAAACATTTGGCACAATGTAAAATGAAGTAAAATGCAACCGTGAATTTGATTTTTCACACTTGCAGCATCTCGTCTCCTGAATTATTTCAAATGCGTTGCATCAAACTGAAAGGATTCGGAAAGAAAGGAAAATAACAGTTTGAGTTTCAAAAGTTAAATGTACTGTTCTTTAAACTATAACGTCAACAAATCTGCATCTTTATCTGTAAAAAAGTAAAATTACACCGCACAGAAAACTGAACACAACCAACATTGAAATAATGTAAGAAGATGAAAAAAATCCTTTTAAAAAAAAAAAAATCACAAACTTGTTTGAAAAATGGAAGGAAAGGGGAACCCTTGCCTGCCATCAGGAGAGAGAGAGCCTTCTGACGATGCTCCCCGTCGAAGGGTTTTTGGATGGCGGTGATCTGGACGGAGCTCTTTATCAAAAGCCATAATGTTCCACTCTTGTCTGCGGTTTCGCGCCTTCCTCACCTTCTTCACCTCCCGCTGGAGGGTGCTGCTCTCCATGCTCCTCTTCTGTTCCTTTGAAAGAGTAATTTAAAGACAAAGGAGTGAATATTTCCTCAAAACGTAAAACACATGAACAGAGCTCTAAATGCTGTTACCCGTTGTCTCCGCCTTTCTTTCCTCTTGTCCTCGGTGTCCTGAAGCATCTTCTCCTTCCAAAGATCAAAAAAGTACGACGGGTCCGAGTAGAATTTCATTGCGTCGGTGGAGTCCTCCCTGTATTGTATCGAATAAAACAGTTTGCAAAGACTGAAAATATAAAGTGAAAGTGACGGTTGGCGTGGAACACGTGCAGAACCTGTAAGCCGTGAGGGCACCAAGAAGGGGAGGCCTGTCACAGCCCTCATACATTTCAGCAACAGAGCTGGGAGTGCTGCCTTTGGACAAAACCTCCTGGTCCTGGACCGCAGCGCCTCGATAGGCCTTCCTCATGTTTATGTCCTGGAGGGACACTGTGGAGCAGCAAGAGCAGAGGTAGAAGTCTGTTAAAAATCAGCGACAGTAGGAAAAAGCATAGGTTTTCAGTGAACTGACCTTCCTCCACGCTGGAGTCCAGTTGGGTGACTTTGACTGCCAAGCGGTCAATACGGTCCTGCAGAGAGTTTGCACGACTGTAAAATGTGTTGGCCTCGTTAAAAAGCTCCCCAAACACGTTTTCTGCATGCTTACCTGCAACAGAAACACAAGGAAGGGAAAAAGGTATTGAGTTACTTCTTATGCAAACTGTGTCATGCTCTGTGGGCTGTTTGCATGCTGCCACTACCACAGCACCGATCCACTTAGTGTGAAAGCTATCCTTAGACTGTCAGTGTTTAGGTCCCCACCCACCTACTCTCCATCTTATCTGCCTGTTGGACAGAGCTTTACGGTAAGCTGTAAGCCTGAGTTACTTCACTTAATCCACACACACAGAAACACACACACACACACACACGCACACACACGCACGCACACACACTGTGATCAGGCAAGCCATGGACCAGATGTCCATGAGAGAATTTGCCCCGTCTAAATATTTCTTTCTTAATCCGTCATATTGCAAAGGGGCAACCCTCACAGCAGAAAAATGTCCCTGCTACCAGAATTGGGTGATGACTAGTTACAATATTGTCACTACGTCGTACTTTTTACTTTTACTTGAAGATTTTGTTGCTCTTACTTGAGAGACGTTTGTGGATTCTCTACCCACTGAATGAAAAAGAAACACGTTTTAACCAAAAATGCACCAGACACAGACACACACCTGCAGTTTTTGTTAAAATTTCCTAAGGTTTTTTTTTTTTTTTTTAGGAAGAAACTGATTTAGAAAACAATTCATGTCCACTTAACTTTGTACTTTGGTCTGTTTGATTATGTAATTTTGAAATATTAAATGATTGATAATTTGATCAGTTACTCTGTACTTTAGTAGACTTTTTACCAAATACTTTTTAACTCTTACTTGATAAATTTCTTGGGTGGCTACTTTTTACTTTTACTCTAATAAAAAGTAGCCACCAGCCAGGTGGCGCTAGCCTTACTTGATGATAATTTTTGTGTACTCCGCCCATCTCTGTCTGCTACATACTCTGGGTTACATCCAATACGAGTCATCAGTGTCCATTACTAGATAAAAACCGTCAAGCCCTCCAGCAAATTTCATTTTGCATCCTGTTGGTCGACAGTCTGATTTTCTGCATTTTTAGCTTTCATTGCCACTCAGAGCAATGCATATAAACACAGGAAGATGGTACATTACGTGTGGGGTATGACCTATAATGTATGTAGTTTTCCTGTTTTGTGTGTTTGGAACTTGTATGCAAACATATAACATTAAAGACAAACTTGATTAGAAGTTCCAGGTTGTGTTTCTGAGACATAAACAATCCTGGAAATCCACTAATTCAAGGTCAAGATGGCCTCTGAACATATATTGTTAGCATCTGGGATCTTACTCAGACAGCTGAGCTGACGGATGATGGCAGACAGCGAGTTATTTGTCACACATTCCAGCTCGTTGCCAATCCCATCAGGCACTGCACCTTGGCACAGGTGACGAGGGTCGATGTTTCTCTTGATCAGAGGCATGACCCCTTCTCACATCTCGACGACTGCCTGGTGGGGATGGAAAGGAGGGAAAAGTCAGCTCTCCAGACAAAAACCTGCGGAGGAGGTTTTGTATTTATAACATCTATGTTCTTTGTGGAAAAAAAAAAACAAAAAGTGTTTTGGCACAATTTGCTTTTTTTTTCAGTAAAACAATAATTACTTATTGTATATGCAGCTTGTAAATTCACCCAATGAAACGATTCATTTGTAAACAAAAGTAAGTAAGATAATGTAAGTAAATCGACCTTGAAACTATGTAAGTCAGATGTTTAAAACACGAATTCATCCAAGTTTATTCCACATTACCTATAGTTTTTTGCTAGAGATTTAAAGTTTTAATCAACATCCACTGAGTCATTTTGACCCATTAGCCTTGAGAGGGGTCAAAATCAAGGTTAATGATTTTTGACTTATGCAGTTTTGCATATACTGCATAAGTTTAACAACTGCAGTTTGGCTATTGCTTCCTGACAATTAATACATTTTACTTGATGAATGTCAGACAAATATTGTGAATTTGAACACACAAACATTTCTTATATAAGGAATACAAACATGGTGGTTCATAGATGCACCTTGAGAAAAATTATCAGTAATAATGCTAATGTTTAAGCAGTTCTCTGAGCTCTTACTGAAAATTCCTCATTTTTAGATTTTTTTTTTAGATTAACAAAAAAATTTAAAGTTTCTTTGTCTTTCCAGATTCAAACAATTATGAATTATTGAAATATAATTTTATGATTTCATAAAAATCTATGGAAGGCAAGACTTTTTTTTTACTTAAAAAAATAAATTTTTATTTTTCTTGTTTGTCCTTAATAAAATAAGGTTGATTAATGCAAGATTTTTTAAAAGAATTTGAAAACATGATTTTTAATATATAAACATGTCAGATTTTACACAGAAAAATATCAATGAACAAACAAACTTCCTTTTTTTCTGAAAATACGTTATGATGATAATATTTGACATATTTTTATGTTTCCATCTTTTTTTTTTCCCTTTTTCTGTTATACTTGCTTTTTATATCTATTCTATTCTATTCTATTCTATTCTATTCTATTCTATTCTAAATAATATAAAATGTCAGCTTGCTTTTTTCTGTTAAGCTTATTTACAAAGCTCCCAAAACTTTCACTCACATTTCTTAAGTGTAGTAGTTATTACATCTCCCTGACTTTCAAAAACACAACTAGCTAACTATTTGAACACTTTTAGTCAAAGGAGCTCTTCAACAACAAGACTTCCTACCGGTGAACTGCTGACATTTGCCTCTATCCTGGAAAAGTATTCTCGATGGGCCAGATTGTGGAGGGCTGTTTATCCTGTTTTCTATCATCAAGCGAGGAAACAACTGTCAGAGGAAGAGCCGTTTCAGCCGAGTCAAAGGAACCATCCAATATGTGAACAGCAATAGTCGTCCTCTGCAGCACAATTCACCAACAATAAATCCCCACGTCCAAATAACAGCATGAGCCAGGAGAGGATTACCCAGTAGATTTACTCCCAGCGTCCAATCACAGGCGTCACGGCTGGCCATGTTGCATCCAGCTTCATTTCAGGATGTATTAGTAGTTTTTATATAGCATAGTAATGCAATCTATGAATTTAAGGGCAGGGAGCAACTCAATATTTTTACATAACACATGAAATGAAGTTGGGATCTACTTGTGGTACTGCTATTATTTCTACTGCTGCATGCAATAGAACTTTGTCATAACCAATTATCCGATTTAACATATAACATACGAAACATAAAAAGGTTTTGACTTCAGTACTTCACATTGTGGGACCTTCAAATCTTTCTGCTGTCTTTGCATGAGCAGCAGGTTGTCGCTCTAATCTGGTCTATTATCATCTCAGTGGGAATGACCTGGATAAATAAAGAAACCAGACACTTTTAGTCTGATTTAGGAGTCTGCCTACATCTGGCTCATGCTATATCCTTCTGTATGTAGGATTTGCAAAACATGACCCTTAAAACCTATTTTAGTTAAGATGGCAAGGACAATTCTTAACTTGAAAAAATAGTTTAGCTGTATATTTTCACCTTTTAAAAAAATAAACCTGCATGTAGTATCTTAATTAAACAAACCTAATCTGAATGTTGAAAGTATCTATTAAATATTAGATAAATGAATTATTTAAAGATAATAAATAACAGCGATACTGAAATTGTCCTTTGCTTTCTATCTTTCTTTCTGTGTTTGTTTCCTTCTTTCTTTTTGTTTTCAATTAGACCTTTTCATTTAATGTAATGCGAGTTTCTAAATTTTACTGACGAACAAAACAAGCACAGACACATTTCAAGTTGAACTGCAGTTGCCATGGCAACATATGGTTACCACTGAAAAACTCCAACTGTTAATTTTTTGGTCCAGTGGTTTACGGGTGAGATAAAGTCAAATATATAAGGAGGTAGGTAATACCTTTTCTATTATTTTTGATATCAAAATGATGTTTTTTCTGATTAATATGTATGTCCATTGACAGGTGGGCCTCGATTAAATTGATTTTGCAGTTTGTGACAATTGTGAATCCGGCAAAAGCTGCTCAAAGATGGACTGCAGTTCAAACGGTGAAACAAGCAGTGTTTTTATTATGTTTGCATGAAATGATGTACTTTTCTTGAATCCTGTAATCCTTTTTAACATTTATAGACGTTTCAGAGGGTAGTTTGAAGAAGCGTTAGTTAATGTTTTAGACTAAACAAGATTTCTACCACAGCACCCCACCTGAAAGATCCGATAATGGAAATGTATCTGGGAAAGGAGAGGAGAATCTCAACACTAAACATACCGTCGGTAGAGTTTTGGACTATGCTGCCAAGTAAGTGCAGAGAGAGTAAACGAGAGCAAAGTAAACTGTTGCATGTCAAAGAAATGGCGCTAATGTGCCTCTCTCTCTTTTGTTCTTGAAAGATTCTCTGACAGGCCGAAATGAGTTCACAGATTACAAAGAAAGGAAAGTAGAGCTGAGGGTAACTGAAAAAAAAACTTCTATTAAAACACAAAATAACCTCAAAAATGAATCAAACAGATAAGCCCAATACAGTAGAAAACATGTGTGGAATGAAATCCAACCTGAACTCTCTGTAATAGGGATTTAAATAAAAGCAAAGTCTTAGCTTTTATGTTATGGAGTCAAAATCAATGTAATGCATAACCTGAAAGATTTATATCAATATCTTGATTCAAGCTAATCAAAATACAAACTTTGTTTCAGCTGGTAAAGATGATGAAATGACAAATTAAACCAATTCCTTGTTTTACCTAAATACACACAAATGATGAAACTGTCTGTGAAAATCTAGACTGGCGGCTTTTGCATTTCTGGATAAATTTTAGTTCCCTCTAATGTAAAACCATGATTTCACAAAGTCTGTAACACACAAAGAGAAAAATAATGTTTTTTTTTTTATGTAGATAGAGAAAAAAAATGTAAGAATTACAAGAACATCTTTGTGAATAGTCATAATTTTGGTCTTAGCTGTTTTGATTATCTCTCACATTTGATGTACTTCAAAGTTTTATAAAATAAATGCATTCGTCACATTCGCATTAAAGCCAGCAAAAACCCCCTTCCCCCTAAAAAAAAAAAAAAAACTCCTAACTGGCCTCAGCAATGATTAAGCCAATCAAGTGTTTTGTTGTTCAATCTAAGCCATTTCTGTATTTCTGCGCCTTCTCCTGCTTGTCATTAAACACATTAAATGCTGATTTTGCTGACATCCACATGTCCTCAGAATGAACTGGCAAACCTTAAGAAAAAGATAAATGACGTTGAGAAACTCATCAGGCCACTGGAGACAGAAGTGAAATGCAATCAACATTTCTGTGAGCGAGAACTGAACCACATGAGGAAGTTCATCACACGAATTGAAAGAAAACCCATTGATGCAAAAAACCTGTGAGTAATAACAAATCTTTTGTTGGTACCATGCAATGTTCTTTCAAGATTTGCAGAAATTGTGACCATTGTTAGTGTTCGACAACAGATTTGAAAATGCCATCAAGTCCAAACAGGAGAGCAGAGGTGCACTGGTGAACCGTTTGGAGGAGGTGATGGCTGCGAAAAGGTAGAGATGAGTAACTTTTACATTTTTATTTTTTATTTTTTAGAATTCTTGCTTTAAACAGATGCAATCTCCCGTGTGTGATTCTAAATCTGGTCTTTCCTCTTTGAAGTGAATTTGAAAGGGTTGAGCATATCCTCAATAGACATAAGTGTTACGCAAACGTGTTGTTCAATCTTGCACCTCAAGAGTGGCAGGAAGCCAAGGAAGCTGAAATATTGAAAGCTAAAGAAGCTAGGAAGGAGCACAGCACCGAGCCTGAAGAAACTGCAGACAGCAAAAGTAAACGTTTTCTTTTTTTTTTTCTTTTTTTTTTTCCACTTGTGCTAATTACCTTCCTTATTGGTGATAAAAACACTAGCGTTCCCAAACTTGTTGTAAATGTGTTATATACGTCTAGTTTTTGTTTTGCAAGTTCAAATGATGCAATCCGCTAAAGTAAAAATATAAATATAAAATAATTACATTTTGAGGTTTCATTATACACACCCAACAAATTTTTAAGACGCACGCCGGAAAACAGTAACCAAAAAAAAAAAAGAGGGATTGGCGCCATCTAGTGGGTATAAAATAAGAACAAAAACTCCTGACAATCGATATAAAACAACTATTTTTTCTCTTCAAGAATAAATGTGTGGATTCTTGTGTAGCTTAATTTTTTTTAGGCTGATTTCAAAACCTGACACAACAATTTTAAATTTTGTTCAGCAGATATTCTCTGGCAAATAACACACTGCTAAATAGACTCGAAAATAGTAGCAAAAAGTATCCCTAAATTCTCCTAAGGGTTAACTTTGCAAGTACATTTGGGAAAATTATTTGTACATATATTGATTTGAAGTCTATATGGATCCCTGAACTAGGAATGAAAATCTCTTCAGACATCAAATGTTCTTCAAGGCTCAAAGTAAAGAACAAAGTACAAACAATGTTGTATTTTCTTTGCCACACAACAAATAAATGTTGTACATCTGATGCTAATTTAGGTGTGGAAGCAGATCCGACATGCAATTCAGATAAAACCCTGCCTTCAGAGTCCACGCCGTCCACGTCACAGACAGACACACAGTAAGTTAACACAGTTAATCAACTTGTTTAAGTTGTTATGAATCTCTGCTTCCACACCTATAAGCTAGAGTATGCAGTCACATTCATCATCGTTGTGAATCAGAAACAACAAAGAAATTAATTATTCAGGGCTTAAAGTAAAGCCTTACTGAGACAAAGTTTTCATATCTGGTACATGCTGTTAATTAAGAAAAGGATATTTGCATAAAAGCAAAATTTAAAGCAGAAAGTGCACAGCAAAATTATATACATTTATTATTAGAATGAATTCAGTATAAGATTGAGTAGTATTCTTCGAATTATATTGCAATATAAAAAGGCAGCTCATTTAAATAAATCCATTATTATCATTAGTGGTAGTAATTAGTGTCAATCAGTAATCGTGAACAAAGTGTTTTAACAATATTATTATTGTAAGGAGTTCTTAAAATGATATAATTTTTAAACATCTAAAAATTAGATGTCTAAATATTAGACATCTAATTTTTAAACATTTTAGAAATTATGGTATTATTATTATGTATTGTGTTTTAAAATCGGAGCATCAAAATTGGAACCAGGAGGAGGCTTAAGTAATATTACCATGTTTTCACAGCATGATCATTAAAATTTTGCCTCACTATCTTTCAAATGGTGAGGCACATTTATAAGCTCCACTTATTTACTATAATTTTTACTGGCTGATTTTTTATTTTATTTCTTTCATCAATTTGATTTCTTTTGCATTTTCAGATCAACAGATTCAGCTGTGCCTGATGACAGCGACGGCGACGGTGACGAGGTCATTTACAACCTAAATCGAAGCTCAAAACAGAAACACTTGCTGTTTTTCATTGTTCAGTGATGCAGTTTGGTTTTCCTCCCCTTCTCTTTGCAGAGGATAGTCGAGATCTACTTCTCTGATCCTTTTGAGGTTGTGGTTTTACCATCGGAGTTAACCGACCAGATCCTTTCTCTGATAGAGAACGCCACTGAAATGGATAAAACACTGGAGCAGACCTTGGAGACCATCAAACTTAAAATGTGAGAATGTGAACGTTTTACTTCAAAGAAGAGGCATAGGACAGTGGCGTGTGGTGACACGTTAATTTAAACCAAATGCCAAGCAGTTGATAGATATGAAAGACACACAACTCCAAAATCTGCCTTCTATTCTATTTGTGAAGGGCAGAGGATGTGAAGAAAATAGCACAGCAAGAAAGCAACTTGGAGAGCAGAATTGAAATGGAAAGGAAGAGAGCCGTGGTGCTCAGAAAGCAGGTTCAGCTCCATAACTCATTAGAAGCAAAAGACGAGGTAAAGAATCAGCATGGGGG